ATATATATATAACAAACCACATAAGGAGCTCTGGTAGCATAGTAATTACGAATCGGCTGCACACCTTAAAGTCAGCAGTTCAAAACTACCAGCTGTTCCAGAGGAGAAAGATGAGACTTTCTGCTCCCGTAAAGATTTACAGCCTCAGAAACCCGATACAGGGTCGCTATGAGTTGGAACCGACTCCACGGCACATAACCACCAAGACCACATAAGGGGCACAGTAATAGAGGCTTCCAAACAACTTGTAGGATTGGTTTATTGGGTCCAAAGCCTTGGAACCACAGGCTAGAGGGACAACTTAGTCACTTGGTATAATATAGTTCACAAAAATAATGTTCTGCATCCCAGTTTGGTGAGGCCTGTCTGGGGTCTTAAGAGCTTGCTAACAGGCATTTAAGATGGCTATTGGTCTCTACTTGTGTAGAACAAAAGCGAATGAAGGCAATCAAAGGCTCAGAGAAGAAGATAGTCCATGGAGCTAATAGCTCAGACAAACCACAGCCTCTTCTAATTAGATGCCAGAAGAAGTAGATGGTGTCCAGCTAACACTACTGACTGCTCAGGCCAGGAACACAATAGAAGGTCTCAGAGAGAATACTCAATTTATATAAGTACTGATTTTTTCTATAAGCCAATCGAACAAAGTTCCTCAATATATGAAATTTTATAATCTAATTTACTAATATCATTTGTTGTTGCCGTTTGGTGTCATTGAGTTGATTTCATAGCAATCACATGTGAGAGAGTAGAATTGCCCCATTGGAGGTTTTGGGGTTTTTTGGGGGTTTTTTTTGGCTGATTATGGAAGATCATTGGGCCTTTCCTCCACAGAGCCTCTGGGTAGGTTTGAACCTCCAGTCTTCTGTACTGCAGGCCAACATTTAACCATTGCTTTACCAGGACTCCTAGAAGAAAGCACCACATTCACAGTGAGAAGTAAAAACCTTTCTGAATTACAAATACCTAGACATAAAGTTTTTTGGAGTCTTCGTGTAGAGCTGTGGGTCAATGCACTGGACTGCAAAGTTGACTGTTCAAGGTCACCAGCCACTCCTTGAAAAACCTATACAGGCTCACTATGAGTCAGAACTGACTCGATGGCACTTAACAACAACAATAGATACAAAGTTTGGATTACTGGTGTGGCGCTGTATGATCAGCACTGGACTTGGAACAACAGGCTGGCAGTGCAAACCCACCAACTGCTCCTCGGAAACACTATTCAGTATCGCTATGAGTCAGAAGTGAGCTGATGACACTTACCACCACCAACAACAGACACTAAGATACACTGAGAGATTAGAGCCTCAACTCTACAATTCCAGCCATAGATCAAGGTCAGCAGTTCAAACCCACCATCTGCACAGAGGGAGAAAGATGAGGCTTTCTGCTTCTGTTAAGATTTTAGCTTTGGAAACCCCAAACATGGTGCTATGAGTTGGAACCAACACTATGGTACACCAGCACAATGATCACCAGTATCAAAGAACTGTCCTCCTTCCTTGTGTGAATAACATTGCTAATTTATTTTAACTCACAATGGAAAAATGGGGAAACAAAAGACTAGCAAGCCATATTCTCTATTGTCTCTCACCCAACAAGACTAGATCTCTCTCTGTAAGACATTCATCCGCTGACAGGGATCAACGAATTCCCAATCACTACAACTACCAACAGAGAATAACTTATCAGCCATAAATGAACCAAAACAAAACACAAAATTAGTAGAGGGTAAAATTAAAATTAGATAAACAGAGTCAATGAAGTTCTATTGTAACATCCAGTTCACCTCAGGAAAACGGTGCCCGGGCTTGGCCATCTGTCAAACACACCAGTTCTGGCATTTCTTAGCTCGTCTCAGTGGGAGCTCCAAAGTTGTTCAATAATATATATTTTTTAAGTAAAAAGTAAATTCATGACTTAAAAAATATAGAATAAATACGTTAAAGATTTTATCAATGAACTACTAACCCCAAGATCAGCAGTTCAAACCTATCAGCTGCTCCTTAGGAAAATGATGAGGCTTTCTGCTCCTGTGAGGACATGCAGCCTGGGAAATTCTGTATCCTGCCACTATGAGTCCGAATTAATTCAGTGGCCGTGGGTTTGGGTTTACTAATAAATGAGGGAACCACTGCAACAAGCTGTTATAATCAGTTCAAAGGACAAGTCAAAGAACAGACATATTTAGAAATAAAGAATATTGAAATAAATTTGCTAATGGATGCAAAACTGGCTTTTAGGGAGGAATTGGTAGAGGAAGAATTGGTGTGGTGCTGTGAGGTAATGCACTGGACTGCAAAGTTGGTTTGAACTGCAAGGTCGGTGCTTCAAACTCACCAGCTGCTCCTTGGAAATCCTATTCAGGGTCACTGTGGGTCAGAACCAGCCCAACAATATTTAACAACAACAACAGATAAGAATTTTTTGCAATGCTGTCAGACTTATACAAGTTAACCTGACTCATGCTAATCTCACGGTTAGCAGTTTGAATCTACCAGCTGTTCCGCGGGAGAAAGATGAGGCTTTCTGCTCCCATAAAGATTTACAGCCTTGGAAACCCTATGCAGGGTCGCTATGAGTCGGAACCAACTCCACAGCACATAACAACAATAGCAACCTTGTATAGAGTTTTCAAGGAGCAGCTTGTAGGTTTGAACTGCTGACCTTGCAATTAGCAGTCCAGTGTTTATCCTACAGTGCCATACCAGGACCTCACAGAGTCCTATTAGAGTCTGATGGTCCCCAGAGACTTCAGTATTTCCATGAAAAGATATCCAGTAATCTCTTTCATTTATTCCAAAGTCTTAACATTTTTCTTGCAACGCTAAATGCCTTATCTTTATCTTTATTTTAGACACATCCATTGTTGTTGTTGTTATTGTTGTTATGTGCCGTGGAGTCAGTTCTGACTTATAGTGATCTTATACAGGGTTTCTAAGAAGTAGTTGGTGAGTTGGACATCCATATGTGTCTAAAATAAAGCCACTTGAGAGCCTAATACTGATTTCGTGCTTCTGTTCTACCTCCTGGCTCACTGTGTAGTGCATGGGATCTTAAAAGCTTCTGAGTGGCCAACTAAGATCCAACAACTGGTCTCTATTCACTGGAAGAACCAGAGGAGGAGGATCAAGAATCAGCGGAGAAAATGGAATATGTGTGCTATGTTGTTGTTGTTCAGTGCCGTTGAGTCGGTTCCGACTTATAGTGATCTTATACAGGGTTTCTAAGAAGTAGTTGGTGAGTTGGAACCACCAACCTTATGGTTTAAACCAACCTTGCAGTCCAGTGCTTTAACCCACAACACCACACCAGGACTCCATGTGCCATAGCCTCCACGAAAAACTTATTCCTTTGTCATGAGACTCGTAACATACTATAGCAAAAAGGATGCTGAAACCCTACTACAAGTTTATTTCAAGTGCTCAATGCGTATCTAACTTCAATAAAATAATGGTGGTGGTGGTGTGCCGTGGAGTCGGTTCTGACTCATAGCAACCCTGTATAGGGTTTCCGAGGCTATAAATCTTTATGGGAGCAGAAAGCCTCATCATTCTTCCATGGAATGACTGGTAGTTTCGAGCTGCTGACCTTGAGGTTAGCAGCCCAACTCATAACCACTACGCTACCAGAGCGCCTTTCACTAAAATATTATATAATATATTCAATAAAATAATAGATCCACCTTAATGAAAGTTTTACCCCTGACAACAGGCTTTGTTCAAATATTCATCTATTCACTAATTTATTTTGCAATGTCTTTTGTCCTTTAAAAACTCTCAGCACCAGTCATGCTGACAAAGTATGAATTGTAGGAATTACAAATTAGTTGCATTAATACTAACCACATTGCCCAGTTATATTAAAATAAACTATTTGGGCATTCACATTTTTAAGTAATATGAGAAATATCTAAAAATAACTCCTTTTATATAACATGACAGCATGGTTTCAAGTACATGCATTTTGTTTCTTTCAGAACAAGGGTTTTCTTAGGTATTAAGAATGTTGTATACCTGATTTCTCTGAATTAAAAAAAAAAAGCAGTATTACCAATAATTGAAAATGTTGTAAGTAAAAACTTTTTGTTTGCTTTGAAGTTATAGTTCTATCTTGCTGCTACATGCCACCAAGTTGATTCCAACTCAGAATAACCCTGTATAGTGTTTCCCAGGCTGTATATCTTTATGGGAGCAGAAAATCTCACCTTTCTACCAGTGGCTGGTGGATTCCAACTGCTGACTTGCAGTTAACAGCCCAGCACATAATTCAGTATGCTACCAGGGATCCTTGAAACAAAATCATCTTGTTGTTAAGTACTGTGGAGTCGGTTCCCACTCATAGTGACCCTGCACAGGGTTTCTGAGGCTGTAAATCTTTACGGGAGCAGAAAGCCTCATCTTTCTCCCGCGGAGGCACTGGTAGTTTCGAACTGCTAACCTTGAGGTTGGCAGCCCGACTTGTAACCACTATGCTATCAGAGCTCCTTCAAAATAATCTTAGTGCAGTTTTATTTTATATTACTGCTATTAGAAATGACTTTTTTCCCCCTTTTCTTTGGGTTAGACTATTAGGACTTATATGAACATGCGTTGTTGCTACTGTTGCATGCAAGGGATGTAGCCTCATAAACAAGATGTGTGTGGTGCTGTAGGATCCGCACTTCAAACCCACCAGCTGTTCTTCGGAAACCCCATACAGGTCACTATGAGTCAAAACCGACTCGACGGCACTTAACAACATCCTCCTCAATAGAGTTGTTGTTAGGTGCAGTCAAGTTGGTGCCCACTCATAGTGACCTGTATAGGGTTTCCGAGGAACGGCTGGTGAGTTTGCACCACTGACTTTGCAGTTCAAACCGACTTTAGAGTCAGGTACTTATCCTACAGTGCCACACCAGACTCCACTGAGTAGGTTATGCTCATGAAATGTATAGAGTGAAAACTTTGCGGAAATACTTGAAGTTGAATTTGTATTCTGTTCATCTAACTTTGTAGGGATTTTGAATATGATGGAACGAGGACTGATTCCATCAACAGCAAGAGTTACGTTTCAGAACCCACCCATTACATCCAGAGCAGCACCTCTGCAGAGCTTTGAGGAAGCACGTAAGATTCCAAATGCAGGTAAGAGAAATACTCTTGCCTCTATGCTTAGCTGACAGTACACAGAAATTATCTCCTCAGAAAATCAAGTCTTCTAGTACCCAACTTTTATCCTCACTCATAGGACAAAATGAAAATTGTAATAATTCTGAGTTTTGTTTTACTGAATTAAGTAACATTAGCCATTTTATTAAATACTTACAGAATTAGAAGATTGTTAGTTTCAGAGGGTTTCCAGTTTGGTTGGGGAAGCAAGACAGACATAATAATACTAGATTATATTGTTAACCAAAAAACAAATAACAATACGAAGTAGCATAACATAAAACCCGAGTGGCTGTTAAATTTAGTGATGTTAGAGTTAGGGTGGTGGCGGTGGTGGAGGGCCGTGGAGTAAGCTGCATTTCACAGCAACCCTGTATAGCTTTTCTGGAGCTGTAAATCTTTAGAGGACAGAAAGCCTCCTGTTTCTCCCATGGAACAGCTGGTAGATTCGAATTGGGGACCTTGTGGTTATCAGCCCAACTCATAACCACTATGCTACCAGGGTGTAGAGATAGATGCTAAAGTGACTAGAAGAAATGAGGAAGAAAAAGAACTGGACAGAACGTTTCAAAGGGCAGCTCCGAAAGGTCAAGTATTACAGTGAAATGTACACACACCTGGAGTTACAAAAACCAAAAGGGAAAAACACACTCAGAATTTCTCAAGTTGAAAGAACTGAAAAAAAATTCAAGCCTTGGGTTGCAATATGGAAGGAGGAGCCTATGGGCAAAATGTAGTCCTGGTGTGTGGCACTGTGGGTTAATGCGCTAGACTGGTAAGTCGGTTTGAACCGCAAGGTCTGCAGTTCAAGCTTACCAGCCATTCTTCGGAAACCCTATGCATATGAAGTTCTGGTGTGATGCTGTAGGACAAGCACTCAACTGCAATGTCAGGTTGAACTACAAGGTCTGCAGTTCAAATCCACCAGTTGCTCCTTGGAAACCCTATACAAGGTCCCTATGAGTTGGAACTAATTCAGTGGTCCTTAACAACAACAACAACAACAACATATGCATATGAAAGCTGGACAATGAATAAAGAAAACTGAAGAAGAATCGATAGATACCTTTGAATTTTGGTATTGGTGAAGAATATCGAATATACCATAGACTGCCAAAAGAATGTCTTGAAAGAAGTACAGTCACAAAGCTCTATAGAGGTGAGAATGGTGAGACTTTGGACATGCTATCAGTTGGGACCATTCCCTGGAGAAAGACATCATGCTTGGTAAAGTTGAGGGTTAGCTAAAACAAGGAAGACCCACAATGAAATGGGTTGACACAGTGACTTCAACAATGGGCTCAAATAACAACAACTGTGAAGATGGCGCATGCCCAGGCAGTGTCTCATTCTGTGGTATGGGAGTTGGTACTGACTTATCGCACCTAACAACAACAACAAAGTTATCCTGATGTTACTCTAACAAAAATACTATGAATGTGTGGCTTAAAAGAAGAACACAAACTTATTTTCTCATCATTCTGGAGGGTAAAAGTCCAAATCAGTCTCTTGGCCATTTTATATCTTCCATGTTGGTCCCCCTGGGGGTTCTTTGGTGATCCTTACATGGCATCTGCTTCCCTTGTGTGTACATGCCTCTGTGTCTTATCTGCTCTTTTATCATTCAGAAGTGACTAGATATAGAAACCACACTTCAAGGGATGGTCTAATTAACACAACAAAGAAAGCCTGATTTCCAAACAGGATTCCAACTATAGGGTATTTGTTGTTGTTGTTGTTGTTGTTAAGTGCCGT